ACTGACCGAATTGCCGATAAAAAGCACACACAAACGTACACACTTAATTCCTTATCCTTTGGGCTTGCTGTTATGTGGAATTCAACAAGAAAATCAGTAAAAACTGCCCCCTTCTCATCGAATGCAAATATCAGAAATGGGCTTGAAGTGGCTGTGTAGCAGACGGCAAATCAAAGATTAAAATATATAGAACTACAGTACAATCCACCTTTTTTGTGTGAATGTGAAACTGGTCTCTTATTTTAAGGGAAGCATATTTATTGACGGCGTTTCAGAATAGGGTGCAGAGGGGAATATTTGGACCTATGAGGGAAGACGTGAAAGTAGAGCGTAAATAAATTGATAATAAGGAACTCAATAATTTGTATTAATCATAGAATCAAGGCCGCACCATAGCTCAAGCGGTTAGTCGCTGGCTTCCCATCGCGGCGGCCCGGGTTCGATCCTTTCGTTACCACTGATCGTGAATGAAGAAATACTTATTTTGTGCTTGAAAATAACAGCATGATACTAGCAGGAGATTTTTTTGAAGCTTATAACCCCCTGACAAGAGTTCGTCTGATGTTTGCTTATGTTTGAAATGTAGACACAAGCTGTAGAACACAAATTAAAGCGGATATGCCTACATAGTTATATACTGCGCATTCCTTCGTCACATAATCATTTGAAAAAATGACACGTGGAATAATTACAGATTCTTTATTGTATAAGAGCCGGAATAGCATAATAACTGAGGGGTCAGAGTTCGTGTCCCGGTGGGGGCAAGAATTTTCTCTTCTCCGCCTCGTCCAGACCGGCTCTGGGGTTCACCCAACCTCCTATCCAATGGGTACCGGGGACTGTTCCCTCGGGGAAAAAGCGGCAGGGGCGTGAAGCTGACCACTCACCTCCAGTTAGTGCAGAGATCAAGAAAAATGTAGATCTATACATCCACTCCCCCATGTGTTTTCACGGCGTTGTGTTTAATTAGTTAAGCAAAGGGACAACTTTGTATTTTTATTGTAAAGCTGTAAGTTAAGTAACCCTGTTTGTGAGAGCTCAGCTCATTGTACGGTCGTAGTAGGATATTTTTTTGTTTCTGAGCGTAGCCCCATCTTCCTGTTACGCCAAGAATTCCATAATGCTTGATGTACATATAGATGGCACCCATCTGGATGCCTCTGGTCATAGGTTAATTGTCAGCAATCAATCAATCGATCATCAGATTACCAGAGAATAGTTAAACGGAAAGGATTCTTCAACGTTATGTTTCAAATTGAGTATGAAAAATAAATGAAAGAAGTGCTATTCGTTATTCGGTTGGGGGTATATCGGTGGCATGGAGGTCAGGCTCGGCTCATACAGCTGATAGTTTATTGACCTACAGGTCCATGAGATTAATCACAGCACACATTTTAATATAAGTTTATTTGTAACAGTAAAGCATTGTCTTGCTTTATTACATGTTACCAAACTACACGGAGCAGAGTTCTTCTTCAGCACCCAATGGTCACTTAGCTGCTCAATAGTTTCACGCCTTCTATGGAAGACGAGAGCTCATTGTTAGGCGCACAAGACAAAGACACTTGTGAATAACACGCATAATATCGGGCCTAAAACGCTCCCTTGTGGGACTCCAGATTGGATGGTGAAGTTGCTGGATACCTCCTCGTTAACTCGTGTTCGAAATTCTCGGTCAGACAGATATTGACAGATATCAGCACCTTTTTGATCCTATCAAAAGCTTGGCTTGATAATATTCCTGACTTTATATCCCATCTCTGTTAACTGATTTTCGATTTCTTTTGTATTTACTGAGTAGTGTAAATATTTTATGACCACCCTGTACGCATTATACTGTTCCCATTTAAGAATGCTACCAGTTTCCGGTATGTTTCGGATGTAGTAGAATTAATTTTTATAGTATTGTCTGCCATACTTTTAGTAGAATATTGCTCTTGTTCAATAATTTCTGTCAATTTATCTACAATTTCGTTATAGTTTATTACCCCATATATAAATATTTGTGGGGGTTTTGGAGTTTTGTTTTCTGGATTGGCCTGGCTAAAGCTTTCTTCAATTGGCAGTGGATTAAATTTATTGCTTATTGTTATATCTGTATTTAGGATATATATTTGCCTTGTATTGATTTTTCGCCTTTTGCTGTTTTTCACTTGTTGCCATTCATTTACATTTACTGTACCTGTGTCTGATTCATCTTCACTAGCTGATGTCATCCTGTATGGCTTCTGTTTGTGTTGTTGTTGTGGTAGCTGCTGACAGCTTGTTGAAGGAATCGATTGTACATTTTGCGGGGCACAATAATTTTTGCTTGTCATTATAGGCTGACTCATTTTGTTTGTAGATTTAAATTTAGGAACTAATCCGTTGCCTACCGGCAACACAGTGGTTCTTGTCACTTGTCACTCGATGTTTGTTTATTTATTTATTTTTTGTCACTTATCTTCACGGCGCTTTTGACTGTCGGCGCACTCGAACACGTCTGTTCGCTATGAAACTCAAGTAGATACTGCCCCTTATAACTTATGCCCTCAATATTATACTGTCATATACGCGTAAGCCATCCCACAGGGCCTATTAATTTCAGATTTTGCGACTAATATCCCGTATTCATCCCCCTTCTCCCCCATGAGCCCTACATGCCCCGTGCTTCTCATCTTCCCGATTTGATCACCCTAATAATATTTAGCGAAGAGTTACGAACCAGGGTTACTGAACACTCCACTTAAAATTCGCAAATGCATAGAAATATACGTGAAAATTACGTACATATATGATATGAAGATGCTTTCTGTCGTATGTAATTGGATGAGAGATTAAAACTTCTATAACCTTTGAAATGTATGTGACCTATATTGGGTTATAATTCCAGAGGGTACCGTTTGTAATATTAGATTTATTGCTTTCACGTCTGCTACGTTCGTTTCTTGAAACGTCTGATTAACTATACAAAAAACATTCCTACCATTAACTCTGTGAATAAAGTAACACAATTCTTCTAGATTCCTATCCTGAAGACAGAAACAGTAAGTTCCTCCGAAACGACTGTATATACGTATCTATCAGACTATACAGTAGCGCCACTAGAAGGCGGCAGTCTTAATGTTCATCGCCGTAACAACCTCAGATATTCTCAGTTTGCATATTTACACCCAAAATTCTTCAACATTACTCTTTTTGCTGAGGAGTTGTTACAAATGAAGGCAGAAGAATGATGAAGCAGCTGCATTTATACCTTAAAGATGGGGGCCAAAGGCTCCTCCGAAAAGCTGGTAGCCACCCTGGTGACTATATGGTGTCGTGACCTATAAGAACACAATTTATGTTTCCACCGCCTTGAATACTTTTTTCTCATATATAACTCTCTTTACTTAAAAAAACAAACTGTCACCCTGTTCCCAGCGGGAACTAAGGCATTCTGTACACAGATCACGGTGAAGATGGATGAACAGCCTTTCATTTTTTGCTCGTTTGTTTAGCAATTTGCAAATCTGTAACAAACGCAACTTCGAAGCATCTAATGGAATGTGACGGGACGATAGTAAATCGGGAATAAAATGACAAGGAACGGTCGTGGTCTCTTTAAAACCGAAGAAGTATTCGCTTGCAGGTATTACAATAAGGCAAGAGATGAGTAAGTAAGAATAGTCAGGCCCCTGATCACTATTTCGTGAGGTAAACCGCATTCGTTTAAACCATCTCTCGGAAATCGTCGTTCTGCTAACCTCTGATTCATGATATACTCCATCTGAAAAATGTGTCCAGTTTTGTAAACCGCGATATTCCTTGTATATACCGCAACTTGTATTTCTGTTCAGGCGGATAAATTTAATGGCCTTTGCACTCATAGACCCACATTTGTTGTGGACATGGTTGTAATAGCATCCAAACATAATTGTCTAACTTTTTAAATTGTCATCGCATTGCGTCTTACGACACTCTTTATATTATATGTGTAAATAAATATTAAAGTTCTGTTACTTAAGCTTTTTTTGTTTAGTGAAGGAAAAGACAGCTGTAAACTTTAGTGGATGATAGAAGTGTTTGCAACCGCATTAGCCGCCAGATTTCCCATACGGCCTTGGCCTTGGCCTTCCCAGCTACAATGTTTTTTTCAGTAAGGAACTCTTTCATCTGTAGAGGGTTTTCTGTACATGAAATAAGATTTTGAACATCCGGACATAAGAGTGGCTTTTGAGTAAAAGCTAGATATTTATACCTCTTAGCTGTCTTTATGTCACATTTAACTTATTTTTCCCTTAAATACATTTTCAATTCACACTTCAGCACTTCTTCCATTCCACCTACCGATCCAGATACGCCGCGCTTATTGAAGAAAAGGAAAGAAAGAAATAATATTGATATATTTGTGCATGAATACAGAGCCGTTTGAACTTTTAAATTAAAAAAATGCGCTTTATCGTTAATTAATGTGTATTAGTTAACGGCCGTGGGGATCCGTTGCGCTGACCACGCGACACCCTCTATCCGCAAAAGTTGACATTAACTTCGCCGACAAGCGGCGGTCGCTCTGTAGGTATAGTTTGCTTGCGGACTAAAGCCGCGAGTTTGTTTATTTTTATTTTCTGTTTAGGGTTTGTTCACTTCCAATATCTACCAGTTTGTTAGATACAACATTAAAATTCCTGCTGTCTCCATAAATGTGATACTGTAACAAACAAAGACATAAAGCATCTGAGGGTAGAGGTCTATTTATAGTTCATGATGACATCAAACTACTAATGCCAATGTATATATATCATTATCCGATTGAAATGTGGACGTAAATTTCGAGCAGTAGTCATGTAATTTTTCTGCTTGATATAAGAACAGTTTAAACATGTTTGAAATGTTTTACATCAACCATCGTACAACATTTCGAGGCACTATAATGTTTCTTCCTGGCCTTGCTCCCGTTCAAATGTACTCACTGCAACAGCTTTGGAATTCATGGACGTTGGGAATTTAAAATAATCTTTGATGGCATAATATTAATAAAGATTTTAATATAAAAACAGTTAGTTTTGAACGTAATTTAAGGAATATAGACACACACACACACACGTACAAATATACAGGCACATAGGGCTATACAAACATAAGCCGTATGAAACAGGAATGAGTAGTAAAGCAACAAAGGATAGTTGAAGTGATTAAAAATTTTCATCTTACAAACCACAAACACCTGTTGAAGAATAAGATGACATGTTACCATCACAATACGTCATTACATACCAGCCATTGCTAAGTATGAATGCAAACATTCCATGCTTTAAATAATTTTACAATCAAGTTGCAATTTTTCATCCAGACAAAATTCCGCTGCAGGTGATTTCACTATACTTGTCAGGCTGTCCCGACTCAAGGCTTGTGCAAACGCTTCATAGGATGCCTTCTATTCGATTCCGACTGTTTAATGACGTACCTGACAGTATCACGGTCGAGGCCTGATTCTCGGTTGGTGTTCGAGCAATTGGTCTGGGTCATGGGGAACATATATGCGAGGTCTATGTCATAGCGGGGCAATTTCTCTCTGAGGTACGTGACCACATTTGGTGCCAGAATCGGTTGTCGGCTCATGATAAAGCTGGACAAGTACCTGGGGCTTTTGGATTTCTCAGCGCAGTGCAGGAGTAGAGCCCAAGACTTGTAGTCGGAGTCCAGTACGTACGTGTTGTACACGCCTTCGTCTGCCAACAATCAAAATACGCTGTAACAGCTGCAAATATTAAGTATCGTCAAATGAAATCGAAGGATAGTTTCATATTGAAAATGGAAATATTGGGGATCGAAGCGACCACGGCCTGTTTCGGAGTAAACCAATCGTACCGGCACTCTCCCCAAAGCGCTGAGAAAACCTACGATGAACCCCAGTAGGAAGAGTCCGCACTGCAGTGGATATATTTTGTTTATTTTTAGTTTATTTACCGTTGCCTTCACATTACACGGTGTGTAATTATTTAATTATTTCCTGGTAGTGATTTCTGTTAGAGGCTGAGTGAACCCCAGAGTGCGGCTGGAAGGATTAGGTCAATTGAAAAAATCCAGTGACCTCATCGGTGCCACTGATATGTGAAAAAGTAAGGTAGAAGCTCGTATAAGAATATGAGACGGACGAGGGCTCTTTGTTCTGCTACATTCCAAATTAGAGAACTAAACAGTGCAGAGAGATATATTTTTATATAGAACCTATTATGGGCAGACAATGATTCAGCATGACCACAAACTTAATATAATATTTATATTTGTATGACAGACAACGAAATTATATAATACGAGTATACAAATACTGAAAAATTTCTGGGAAGTTGCCTCGATAACTGTGTATGTATTTTCAATTCGTGAATGCATTAACATCAAATGTGTCTCATTTTTCTCTACAACCTTCTTCAAAATATTTGTTTATCCGACAAACTGTGAATTAGTTCATCTTCTTGTAAAATGTACATAATTATTTTCAGCTATGAACAAAAATTCGAGTGTGTCGACAGATTTTAGTAAAACTTCCCATTATTATACTCCACGAAATCTGTTCAGCGAATTCTGGTGCAGTTACATGTGAAGAGAAGGGCGGAGAGACAGACACAACTAAGCTGCAAGTCTCCATACCGGCGCCAGACTATTAGCTTAAAAATTGCCATCTTCTGGGATATAGCGCCGTGTAGTCCGTATATGAACCAATGTTTCGGAGGAACGTATCGCCTCCATCTTCAGGGTCGAAAATCAGCCGAGTAAGAAATCAGCGAGAGCAGATAGTTAGGTAGAATGAGCTGTCAGTCGGGATAACAAATTTACAGGGCTCTGTTCGGCTGATTTTCAACCCTGAAAATGGAGGTGATATGTTCCTCCGAAACGTCGGTTCTTATACGGACTACACGGCGCTATGTCCAAGAAGATGGCAGTTTTTCATAACTATCGCTGTGAAAATCTCAAATCCTACGTAGCTTAAATTCTAGTAACAGCATTAATATTTTATTAGCATCATCTTCGAAAGCAATACTGGCTTTGTTTGAGTGTGACATTTACAATTAACTTGGATGGCTTTATTAATGGAAAGAACCTACAGGAAAGCCTGTAATCTTGTTTCCGGCGACTGCCCTTCCTGTTGTTACTGCTACTAAGATTGCATTTCGAATGGATTTTCTCTCCACTGGCAAATAACTAAACAAAACACAATATCAAACTCAGTAGGTTAATAAAAGCCTGGAAGAGAGGTCGATATTAAACAGATCTCGTAAAGGTTAAATTGTCTTCTGGTCTGTTAGACGATTGCAAAGTTTGGATTTATTGGCTCCATCTTCAAGGTTGATTTCATTTCAGAGTACGCTTCTAACCTGAATAACGGAGCTTACATTTCCTATGAAATATTGATGTGCTTTACCCAATTTGTACGATGTCAAAAAACTGTAATATGAAAATTCACCGCCGTGAAAACATCAGATCTCATACTCATCATATAATGTATAAAATTAATATGACGTAAAGAGAGAGACGTCCTTCACACGTGACACGTTCTTCCTACGACTAAATCCAATTCCTGAATATAATTTTGTTGCAATCAAGTATTTGAATACGAACATTTATATTGATTTTTAAAGTGTGTCGACATTTACTTGGGGGCGAAACGGTTTATAGAACGACAAACTGTAATAAAAGGAATTTATAATTTTCAGACAAAATAGCTCACAATTTTAGTTTCGTGATTTTTAGCTTAAAAATACTAGCCTGATCAAATCAGGAAGCTGAGGAGTACAAATCTCTGCGATATGACACTGTATAATCTGGTAGAATATTACGCGGGCGTTTAGAAGAAACATACTTCATCCATCTTCAGATCCGAAGAGTAAGACAAGCAAGCGTGCCGCAAGCAGGACACGTATCGGAGAGTGATAAAACCATGCAGAATTTTTGTTGGAAAGTCTACAGGGAAGAAACCTCAGTTAGCCCTCACTAATTCTGACTAATTGGGAGCGAACCCTTGTGCAAAATAGTGAAAGTCAGAATTATAGAAGTGATATTGAAAATATGATCAGATAAATTATAAAATGGACTTCACGTGTTCTTTTAGGCAATATGACTTTATTTCGAAATTTAGATTTCATATCATAAAATAAATTACTTAGTATTACTTAATATTATTGAGATGATGTTTAAAAAATGAATTTTTTTGGTTTGTGGTCCAGTTGTTCTTTTCCAGTTTTCGGCTTCATTACTACATGAATTATCCTGTTTCAACACAAATTCAGATGTTCATTTACGATTTTTTTTAATATCATATAAGGTGGACCTACTTACACCATGCTGATTCGTTACATTCTGAAGATAAGCAGCAGGATCAAGTTTGTTTAAAACTTCCAATTTTTTTTTTCTTGGAGAGTTAGAATATTGTATTTTCCTGTAGCACTTATTTTAACAGACGTAAAATTCACTACTAAAACGCTAAAACGAAAAAGAAAGGTCTACTAAAACACTTAACACGCCCTGTTCACGTGAACGTAGACAATTTTATGTTAACTCTCTGCGAACCTATATTATCTAGGCCGGTTTTCTAGATCTAGTATGTTTTAATTTTAAATATTTTTTAAAATAGCCTTCATATTTGACGTGAGGTCTTCATGTATCTACCGTCATCTATGCTAGCGCTACACGCCGTAGTTTGAAATCGCCGATCGCGGCAATATGATCATCAAGGCAGTAATGCGCCAATATAAACCTTGTCCTAGTTATCACGGGCTCAGAATTAATGAGGTTTCACTATATTTGGAATACCTAGGAATAAATGACAGGATAATGTTATAATGGATCTTAGATAAACAGCTCTTGAGTATCTGAAACTGATTCGTCTAGCATCACGGCAGTGTGAGATGTCGAGCGTTTGTGAACATTACAAGAAACCTTATGTGATCTCATAAAAGGATAGAGCTGACCGACTATTAGCTCATGGGTCCCGCAGAGCCCGAAACCAAAAATGACTGTGCTGGCAGGGGTCAGAAGCAATTTACCAGATAGATTATTAACTTAACAAGAATTACTCTACTGCTAGGATTTGAAACACAGCGGTTGTTCTGGAATTAACGTTGCATAGACCGCTGAAAATCAACCTACATTTCGGAGGAACATGTCGCATCCATCTTAGGGTTCAAAGAATAAGACAAGCAAGAAACCAGCATGACGCTGGCAGTAAGCAGAGCTCCATACACCTCGTTACATCCCAGCAGATAAGAATCTTCAGTGACTGTGTTTATTGGAATGAGATACTCAGAAATGTATAATTCTGACATCATGCAGTAGTTCAGACAAAACTGAAAACTTGCTCCTCTGTCCTGGCTGTAGAGTGGGACAGATTGACTGAACTACAACAGTAGGCATTTATCCTGGTGATCTCTGCTAGAGGACCATTTAAGAATTCCGTCATAATTACTGACGTAGAATATTTACATATCAAAATGTTAAGACACTACACTACTAGCCGACAGCAGCTAGAACCGGACCCGAAACAGGGTACATGTTTATATTCGCTTATCCGGGAAACTCTTGTTTCTTTGGATTGTATAAATGATCGTAATCTCCCTGTGAGTGTTTATTGCAGGTATTCTATACAAATTCGAAAATTTCTAGCATTTTTAAAAATAAGCAACTCTATCTTGCAGAGCCCTTTTTAAAGAACTGATTTCGGTCAGCTGGTCCAGAAATTCTCCACTGTTTTTGAGACTCGAATGTTCACTATTTACTTATTTACTCATGGAGCTGAGCCCTTCTTGAGGAGCCACAAATTCTGCAGCTACTCTAGAATTTCCCAGCATTTTATGGGACCCGAAGGTTCATTGCCGTGTTCAAAAAAGCCCTCCACTGGACCCTGTCCTGAGCCAGACCAATCCATTCCATACTTTCCCATCCTATCTCTCTAAGATCTATTTCTCAAATGTTCAGTACAGCGTGAAAAAACATTCAGCCACTATTTTCTTTCCTGAGCCAGCTGAATATGGGCAAAATCCTCGAAACCTGTGGCCTGAAGTTCCATTTTGATATTATTCCTTACTGTCATAAATAGCCTCTTCCATTCCGTATTTCCGAACCCATTTGATACTGAATTTAATTCCCGTGCTAATATTTCCGTTTTTTCCATCATCATTTATACGTTTACTTCAATAATATATAATGGAGAGATCAAAGAATGCAGCTCCTTAATATGTACTCGTTTCATCCCCTGTCACTTCCACTGACTGAAGTCCAAATATTACCTTTGCAACTTCTTCCCAAACACCTTAAATACACGTACATATTCTTCCTTCAAGATGAGACGAAAGTTTCATATAAATAAATAGTAACAATTTTCAATTTTTAGATTTTTAAATGTGAGAAACTTTTAACCGAACATTTAACTTCGTTCCTATTTAAAATTTTTCACACTTCTCTTAGACCATCATACCTATAGTTTTACAAATATTAATGTTTGTTTTATTAAATATCGGGTTTAGTAAATAATTTTTAGGTTCCCATTTATCCCTGTGTAGGTAGCAGTAGACGCTGAAGTGCCTTTAAACACACGCATTCACCCACTCACTATATATGGGCAGGGAAGCTAAGGTCTTGAATTGAGCCGAATTCAATTTACTACTCTGAGTTTCTTAGTTATCTAAAATAATTTGTTACTATGGTTAAAAATAATCGAATTTCGGCCACATTTACAAAGGATTTATTAGTTATGATTTGTCCTGTATTCTGGCGACGAGACATGCACACATAATCTACTTAGTTTTCTCTGCATTAATTTCTGCACCAATCTCCTTACTAGTGTGTAACACAAGTTTATTGTCACGTGAGCAACTACGAGTAAATGTATGAATATAAACTACTTTAGTATTTTCTCGGCAACTGGTAGCATATCTTGATTCGAACTTAATTTGTCATCTTCACAACCAGACTTACATGTGTCTTCAGCATGGACCCAATGAGACGGTCTGCTGGGATTGGGGATCTCCCAGGTTATGTTGCCGTAAAGGAGCTCGGCTGCCGGGTCGTCAGTGAAGGTGTATGTGAAGTTCATGGAGACCTCCAGTCGGTCTGATGACATCGAGAACACGGGCCGCATGCAGCCGTAGGACAACGCCTCTTCCGAACTCGCGAAGTACTGTACCACGAACCACGACCCCAGCAACTGCCAATGCAATCAAAGATCTAGCTATTCCTCTTTCTTCTTATGCTGATTGTTCAACGACACTGTCAGTATTGATACTATGCAACGTCGGAAACCCTCTAACATCCGGGCCACAAGATCTAACATGGTGCCGAGCATTTGTTGAGAAACCAACAGTCGTTCAACCACTCAGGAAATTCCGAATGCTTTATTGTGTCAGAATGTTAATTTCCGTGTTCATAAGAGTCCTCCACTGGCCTCTATCCTAAGCCTGATAAATCCAGCTCATACCGTTTCCTATTTCTCTAAGATTCATTTTAATACGATCCGCCCTTTTACGTCTAGCACTTCCTAGTAGTCCTTTTCCTTTCGGCTTTCCCACTAAAAACTTGAATAAATTCTTCTTCTCCTTATGTGTGCTAAATACCGTGCCCATCTCATCCACCTGAACTTCGTAATTCTAGTTATATTTTGCGAGGAGTGCATGTTATGAAGGTCTTCATTATGCACTTCCATTCGACCTACTATTATATTATCCCGTTTCGTTCCAAATATTCTCCTCAGCAGTCTGCTCTCAAACACCCCAAGTCTAAGTTTCTCCTATAATATCAGAGACCAAGTTTCACGTGCATACAAAAATCGCAGGCAACTAGCTGAAACAATATTGTATTGGACATTCTCCATTGTCTGAAGCGAAGAAGGTATACAGCAACAAGCAGCGTTCTGACTGCTGCTGCTGCTTATTTGTATTCCTCTATTTAATCATTTAGAATCCTACGTGTGCCTGCCACACAAAAAGCGAATGCTTTTAATACTTGTTTCACATGTTATGCTCGAAAATTAACTTCATAATATTACCTCGTGAAGATCGAAGTTTCTTATGGCCTTCACATGAGGACACTTGGTCTTATCTTCTCGTCTCTTAGCGGGAAGCCCGCAGGACACGAACCCCAGTACAATGATGAGAGTACAGAGGAACCTAGGCGACATCTTGCTGAGGCTTGCCTGCCGATGCGTAGTCTTACTTCAGCTGACTGTCGATGCCGGATCTCAAGAGTGGGAGGAGACGCACAGATAGCACGCAGTTCTGCCGATAATGACGCATAGTGTTGCATCGTTCCTTGCATCCACAATTGTTCGTAGCATTCTTGAAACGGAGCCCCTTTGCGTGCGGTATGGCAGTGGTTACTTCTCGGGTTTAAATTAAAACTTCAATTTTACAGAAACAAACTTATCATGTTCGACACCATTTAGCACGATTTGAAACAAACCACGAAAAACAAGAACCTGGCGGATTACACGTGACAAGGTAAGAAAAAGGTAAACTATCCCTGTAACAGGCCGTGAAGACCCATAGGGATGTGAGACGTCGGGGCTCCAACATTTTCTCTAGAAAATCGGCTCACAGATGGCAGTAAGGTTGTCAGCCTTACGCGCCGGCGGCCATTTACCCTCCAGGATGATTTCTGGTACTCATTTCTGGTAGCGGCTGTGTCTACCCCGAGGCCATAGTGCGACTGGAAGGATTAGGTCAACTGAAAAAAAAGAATCCATCTCATCGGGACTCGAACCAGCGACCGTCCTGCTTGTAGCATAGTGTTCAACCAACTACACTACCTCATGTCCTTACATGTGACAATATTATTTAAATTTTATTCACACACATAAATGAATGGGTGATATCTGTTTCATCGCGTAATAAATTCCAATCATATATAGGTCTGCAGGCCTATATATATACACACAGTCATATATTTATTTAAAGCCAGCTCCACCATTTATGGAACCCGGAGATACATGACTATGTTCACATGAGCCCGACAGTGATCCCTGTCCCTAGCCAGATGAATGCAATTTATTCTCCACCCACCACCACATGTTACTTTAAAATCCACTTAGTTAACGTAACGTTCTCCTTGCGCTGAACTAATTAAGCACTAATCCATGAAGGTGTATAAGGGAGTAGATGTATAGATCCACGTATTCTTTACCTCGGCACTAGCTGGAGGTGAGTGAGTCTGGTTGTTTTATTTTAAGCTTTCATGGTGGTTAAATTCAAATGTTGGTAGACACGATAGCGCAGTCGGTATAGTGACTAGCTACGGGCTGTACGACCGAAGGGTCGGACTTCAAGTCCTGGCAGTGTTTAGATTTTTCTTCTCTCCACGTTATCTATGCCTCCTATCCAGTGGGTATCGGGGGCTCTTTCTCCGGGCGTGAAGCTAACAACCCACCTCCTACTAGTGCCGAGGCCAAGAATAGGTGGATGTATACATTCACTCCCCCGTACGTCTTCACGGCGTAGTGCTTCATTAGTCAAGCCCAGGGACATCTTTACTTGCTTTGAACTTCAGACGTTAATTCAGCTTTGGGTGATTATATCGCATGGATGTGGGCGATGTTACTGGCGTTTCGGAGGTACGTTCTGCCTCAATTTTAGGGTGAATTCCGAAGATGAAGTCAGCATGTACCTCAGAAACGTCAGTAACATCGCCCATATCCACACAGTGTAATCACCCAAAAAGCGAAATTATTGTAACGTGCCGCCTAAAAGCCGGAATATCGGAGTCAGAGCTGGCGTCCATTGCTAGACAATGGCTCGGCAGTCACGTTTCTTCTATATCAAGGAGCAGTGAATGCATCGGTGTCTGGGTGAAAATTGTAAACACGTTCATGCGACATCGCGTATATAGGCAGACCGTTACCACGGAAATGAAAACCAGAACTCTGCTACCCCAGCCGACTAGCAGGTATAATTGGAGGCCAGTTCAGAAGCAAGAAGCGAGGAGTCAGAAGGAGAAGAAGACGCAAGTGAAGTCAGAGGAGGACTAGCGTGATTTCGAGAGGCAGACATCCTTCAAGCAAGCAGACGTTGAAGACCTTTATTGTGTCTTATAGCTAAAGTAATTTGAGTGTGTTATAATTATCTGTAGTTCCGCCTAATGAAATTGTCCAATAAATCGATTCATCTAATCGGAAAGCTATTAGCTTCTTGTCGCTTTACCAGGATACGTGACAATACCAACCATAAAACTGCTATGTTCAACTTTAGGGTTGTAGAACATTACATTTTAGAATGTGCGTATATTTTATTATTTACTGCGAATACCCCCCTTCTTAGCTTATATAAGACACTATGTAATATTCGCTAAATCGCTTGATTAAAAATTGTTGCTGTAAATCTTTGTTTGCCCCTTACTTCTTGCTGGCTACTTTCGTGGCTTACTCTTCGATCTTGAAAATGGAAACAAAAGTTCCTTGCGAAATGGAAATAAACTTCTAGTGGAACACACGACTTTACAGCCTAGACCATGAGGCCGCGCCATAGCTCAAGTGGTTAGTCGCTGGCTTCCCACCGCGGCGCCCCGAGTTCGATCCCGGGTCCGGTCAAGTGGTATTTGTGGTGCACAAAGTGGCGCTGGGACCGGTTTTCTCCGAGTACTTCGGTTTTCCCTGCCAATCTTCATTCCACTAAATTCTCTATCATCATAATCACCCGGGGCAGGTACAATAGGCCAATTAGTGGCCGCCGTGCCGAGTGGATCCAGTTGGACTCCAGCCGCCACTAAGCGAATTACAGCCCAGACCATAGGACTCTTAAAAAGCGTCTTATGTGGATATAACGTATGTCCGCATCTCTCTCCATCTTCCTATGAGTAACATCAGGGATATAGATTTTCATATGTTTTGTTCAAATTCGATGTGGGAGGCTTCCACCTAACCGGTAACGTCATTCATAATCAAGCCTGGATTACGCAAAGCCGTATATGAATCTTTCCGTGTATTCCAGAAGCAATGTCATATCGTACATTTTGATGAAATATTCGATGCAGAATTATTTCACCAAACGCTGTTGTGCAATCCAGATATTTAGCCATACTAATCCGTAATAAAACCTAGTTCCCAGTCAGCCATGAATGGGCTTTTCCCCTTAACATATAAACCGTCTGACAGATTTTGACGAAACTCTATATCGGAGATTTCCACCGAAATATGGTGAGCGATTATGATTTTTAGCCATTACTTCATCATAAAGCCTAATTTACATAAGGCAGAAAACTTACTTTTCCAACTATGCTATAACTGCCACTTCTATTGAAATTCGATATGGAGATATTTCACAAAAATCCCTCTGACGATTCTGATTTTCAGGCATCTTGGATAATCCAGGATGTCCATCGATATATTTTACGATTTCATAATCAGCAACTTTGTAGCTTTGGTTAATCGGATAATTTTAATCACCTATTGCTTTCCTTCATATAGGATATTGGTTGGAAAGCCAGAAGGAAAATGACCACTGGGAAGATCAAAGCTTAGATGAGTGGACAATATTAAAATGGATCTTAGAGAAATAGAATTGGATGGTATGGATTGGATTGATGTGGTTCAGGATAGGGACCAGTGGAGGGCTGTTGTGAACACGGTAATGAACCTTCAGGTTCCATAAAATGCTGGGAAGTTCTTGGGTAGCTTCTCAAGAAAAGCTCAACTACATGAGTGAGTGAGTGATTGTTTTCCATTATTTTATTAATTTGCATAAAAAGTAAAGGTATCCCTGTACCAGGCCGTGAAGGCCCATAGGGTTGTGAGACGTTGAGGGTCCCACATTTTCTAGACAATAGGCTCAAAGATGGCGGCAAGGTTATCAGCCTTACGCGCCGGCCGCGCTTTACTCCCCAGGAAAATTATTTAATTAATTCCTGATACTCATTTCTGTTAGAGGCGGAGTCGACCCCAGGGCCATAGTGCGGCTGGAAGGATTAGGTCAATTGAAGAAAAAATCCAGTGACCTCATCGGGACTTGAACCCGCGACCTTCCTGCTTGTAGCATAGCTCCTCAACCAACTATGCTACCGTGTGCCTCCGAAACGTCGGTTAATACAATATGTACACCGCACCACATCCCATAAGACTGCTTTCTCCATATTCACGGCCGTGAAAACTTTAATCTTGTATTTTTATGAAGCTAACAGACACTCGGCTAGTCAAGAAATTCCCCTCCTCTTATGATACTCGGAGGTTCATTACCGTTTATCGGTAGGTCTGTTACTGACTGCACCACCAACTAAGCCCAAACACAAAGCCTCGCGAAACTCTAGGTGTCACTTGTATAGCGCTGAGGAGGCCTGCTGTGGGTACATTGCTTCTCGCTCCATTTTCACTCGAACTTATCATCTTTCCTTTTCCGATGCAGTGGAAGTAAGTGATAACCGTTCTCATAGTTGTTTCTCGACAATTAGACATAAACAACACACGTCAGAAAACATTACTTAATGTGATCATAATTCCGAACCATCAGAATCTGTAAAACACATGCAGAAAATTACAAGATTCTTTTATGTTACACAAATGGTTTCAGTAAAATATATTACTTCTGGAACTCTAAGCAACTCTGTATTATATTCACACATGAAACTGTCAATACCGTACTTTTGCAACCCCTCATTTACTTCCTCTCCTGACGTGGCCCAGGTAGCGAGCCCAAATTTTAAAATTAGCCGGTAAGTATATGTGACTTTAAAAAAATTTACTAAAAAGGAATATCCAAAATGTTGTAAGTTGTTACTTGCTATTAAACCTGAAATATTACAAGTTTTCTAAGAACTTAAATAGACTAGGGTCGAGACTGATAGGGCTGAATGATACCAGGGTTATATCGAGGTAAATGTATCGATCTGGACTATACTTGAAATGAGGACAAGGACTAAAGTTACTATGTAAAACTACCACCAAGCATCAAAATCAGCCCTTCAGAAGAAATCGACCAACCAAAAAAATCGATATTGTAGCAACAATTCTTTAAAACGAACTCAGATTAATTTTCCCAAATAGTAAGATTCTTATGAAGAGTACTGTCCTCTGGAACTCGATGCCATGTAGTGTAGCAGAAATCAACCAAAGTTTCGGAGGAACATCAGTAACTTCTATCAGGCTACATGATGTCATATAACAGAAGAGAGTGCTCTTCATAATCATTGCAGTCAGAACTTCAAACCTCACATGTGAGTTTTGTCTGTATATTTATTCATTCTTGATTTATTTAACAACCCT